CTTATTTCTTTGTTTATTTATTCATTTATTTTATTGTTATTTTACATTTGTAATCCTTTTTCATTTTTTTCTTTTGCTAATTTATTTAATTATTTACAGAAGTTAAGCTATTCCATCTTCTTTGTTTCTTTTATGTATTGAGTCTCTAATGATCAGCTTTGGCTGGATGGACCACCCTCACAAAATATTGTTAAAATAAAATAAATATATAATTAAGTTTTAATATTTCAATAGGAAATTACAAGACAATATTTTGTTGACAAATAATGACTTTCCTATATATTTAAGTTGACATTTAAGTTGACTGTTAATCCATTATTGAAGGATTAAGTAACTAAAAAGCAACAATTAATTTTATTGAATGGTGATTTCTTTCTTTCTTCCTTTAAATGAGGTATATTTTGATTAAGGTTTAAGCACTTTAATGTTATTATATTATTATTTATTGATGTCATTTAAGTAATTGTTGGCCTACAGTAGCAAATATATTTGAATATATTAAGTTGATTGACTGGATAATTGATTGATTGATTGATTTTACAGGTTCCTCAATGGAAAAATATCAAGGCATTACCAAGGTAATATACTTTTTTTTTTCTACTAATCAGGACTTGTGGTGGTTTCTTTATTATTATTTTATCTCCCTTTTATACTTAAATGCACAATTACAGGTGCTGGTAATTTAATGGCAGGGTATAGCACATAACAAACAAATTGTTTGATGTAAAACGTTTAGACTTTCATTCCGACTTAATAAATAATGAATTCTTATCAGTTTTTAAGATATTTTGATGTTTTGATTTACAGTATGTAAGAACAAAGGAATCCAAATTAAATTTTTTTTTCGATAGATGAAATATTAAAATGCTGCTTTTACCGATTCTTTTTCAGTCCTCATAAAGATGTGATTCAGAAGGTGTCATTCCTAAAGAACACGTCACGTTACATAGCAATTAGCAAGGAGGGCTGTATTTCAACTTGGGACAACCAACTACACCGTCAGAAAACCATCAAGGTACAAGCAACTAATATAAGTGAATAAACTTTTAAAAATGATATAAACCAGAATTTAATACTGTGTAGGCTTGTGTGTAAGACAAGGCACTAAAATAGCAAAGTACGAAAAAAAAAGGAGTCATCTTATATGCACAACATAGACATTTAAAAAAAAAAAATCATGTTTGTCTTATTTGGAATCTGAAACATGTGGCTTTACTACTGAAGTGAAGCTACTAATTGTTAATATGGTCACTGTGTACGCTTGACAAGCCGGAAATGAATGTCATACAAGGCAATTGTTGTTTAATTCGTCAGGTAAGTTTTGATTAACGCTATATAATTGGTGATATAATGAAATCCATGAACGCTTACCAAGCTGAAACTTATCTGGCAATTTGAAGGCTAAATGCAGGTTTGGCTCCAGTGGATCATATCGAAAGGAGGAATTCCGACGGTGAAATGGGGAAGTAGTCTTATACATCCGACGAATAAAAATCACAAAAAAAAAATCTTCTCAAACTCGATGAGGGTCATCGTATACATGGATCGCCTTATATGAGAATATACGGTACGGTATATTAAGTGACTTGTCATCCTCCAAAAATCCTGTTATCCTCCAAAAATGATTATTTTGAATAAAACTGAAATATTTTATTTAGCTTGTTAACACGCTTTTGACCTTTAAAAATTTGCTATTAAAAAAAAAAACATTAAAATTATCACTGGTCGTACTGTTTTTAAATTACTTCGAATATAAATACATTTTCTTGTTTTTTGAATTATATTTGAACAGATTCACAATGAGTCAGTGAAGCCGCGAGACATGTGGGTGACAACATTTGCAGTTCTGCAAAACATCAACAAAATAGCTCTTGCATTTACAAGTAAAGAGATTGGTAAGAGAATATACATTACAATATACAACATAAATACTGTATATTTCTTGTGAAGGAAAAGTTGTAATATTTTCTTTTTTTATATTTTTTTTCAGCTTTCTATGACTTAAGTTCTAAATTAGAATTTAATTGTCAATACAAAGTCACAGGCCTTGAGCACACACCATTAAGCTTGGATTACTGGTAAGAAAATTACTATTTAAGTATTGTCCTTTTAATGAAAGCCTGTATATTAACATCGTCATTATGATCATCAAATTCATCATCAGCAACAGCAACCGCATCATCATCATCATCACCATCTCATAATCAATATCATCATCCTCATCATCATCAGTGTCGTCATTACCATCATTGTCTTCATCATTTCATCATCATCATTATAATTATTGTCATCATGGTCATCATCGTCATTCTGTAGCAGTTCAAAGCACTGCAGGTTGATGACCTCACAGCTTTTTCATAATCTGAACCCTTTGATATTTTGATTCACTCAATTTTCTCTATTAATTATATCTTCCATCTTGGACCTACTTCCTTCTCCTAAGATTGGAATTTGCTACCTATGCATACATCATTCTGGCCCATCTATCAATTACCTAAAATAAAATTGAATAAATTTAATCAATTGCAGGAGTGATCCTGAGAATGCTAATCAAGCCACAATGGTGCTGGGTGATACCGGTGGCTTTGTCTATGCATTTCTCTTTCAATCAGTGAATATATCTTTGTTTGACCGCCCACACCAACCTGCAGGAGAAAGCCAAGGTAATCACTGAATGTTAGCATATTATTAAATCATTATTATTAATATCATTGTGGTCTGTAGCCTAGATTTTGATAGTTGTATTATGATCATCTTTACTCACAAAATTATTGATTTTATCATAAACATTAAATAACATTCTATGTATGTAATTTTTTGTATGAATACTGTTGAAATTCAGAACATCATTTGGCAAGGAAATAACTATAATATTTTCATATTTATCTGATTTTATTATACCTAATTTATGCAAATACATAATTCATAGTTTTCACATAATTATGAATGATTAACATGATTATTGTACAAAACAAATGATTCAAGTTTAATACCTCAACTGAAAAATGCTTTGTATTTTAGAACAAACAATCATGGTTGACTTCAAGAAACTTCATAAAGGAAAGTTTAAGAACTGCAGACTTGTAAAACATAACGGACATAAGGATTGGACAAGGCAAGGTTAGTCTCAGTCAAATTAACCATGAAAATGAATGAAAAAATTAATTGAATAATGAATGCAAATATTGTAGTATAATGCAAATAAAAGAGGAAGAAAATAAGGATAACTTGAGAAAATCAATAAAGTAATTGGAACAAAATTTTTATAATTTTTATGTGGAGGAAACTTGATTTATAGTATAGTTAGCCATGGTTTAATGGTATAAATTGTCTTTAAATTCTTTGATTTATTTGGTGTTGTTATTGTTTACTTGCAGTTAAGTATGCTGATCATCTTGAGTGCTTCATCTCCTGTGCTACCACTTACGAGAATGCTTTAGTACTAGGCTGGATAGAAAAGGCAAAACAGAAAATGAAATTGTAAGTATGATCTTTGTTATCATTGAAAGTTATTTATACACAGATAGGTCCATGTACAATATTTGTTTATTGAATCTCATGTATTCCTATATTTTTTTTAAGTTAATAATAGTACAGGGGTAAATTTGTCTATAAGGTAAGTAATTTGTGTGTACACAGGTAGACAATCCCTTACTATTTCAAAGCAGTTTAAAGGCCAACTCAGACAGCGTCGGCCGACGCAGCCCGTCTCGATTTATCGTCGGGGACAGTCTTAAGCCGTCGTGAGAAATATTAAACATGGTTAATATTCTACTACGCGACTGCCACCCACGCACACCATTGTGTCTGCGTTTAACTCACACACACCCGACGCGACAACAAATCGCGTTGGGCTGCGTCGTACGACACTGTCTGAGTTGGCCTTAACATGCACAGATGTACCATATGGATTTTTCATTTTATTCCAGAAGATGGTGTGTTTGCTAAATTTGTGTGTGTTTGCTAAATTTCATTTCAGAATATTTGAATTTGAGGATGATTCCTATATTTTATACACATATCCAGAGTTAACTTGATATTTCTCATTTTCCAGAACCACATTCAATATAACGCAAGGTGTAAACAGCTTTGACTACCACAGCGCTGTCAACCTAATAGGTGAGTTTAAAGATTAGTCAATCAACAGGGTAATGTAAACATTTTAGAGTATTATTATTTAGTATGCCTTTGTTTTATTTATTTGATCTTTTAATTGAGTAACATTCAACAACTGCTGATCATTTGAGCCTCATACAAATTAAAAATTAACATTAAATTCTCTACATAAATATTATTAACAACAAAAATATAAAAGTAATTATAAAATATAAATTATATAGTAGGCCATGAGTTATCAAAGAAAATTTATGTAACTTATTTTTAATTTGTATACATACAGAAGAAAAGGTTCAGTTATATTTAACCTTTATGCTGATTGAAAATGTAGCAGAAATCACTCCACCCTGTAAATCTCCCTCCAGGGTAGTTGACATTTGGCATGTTACTATAGCAACTTGATTTCATTACTAAGAAATGTTTTTTTTCTGTCCTATGTGTCGCTTTCAAGCTACCTCTGGAGTGGACCATCATGTTTGTTTGTGGAATCCATATGTGATTTCTAAGCCAGTTGGTGTAAGTAAACATAAAGCCCTGTCCACACTATCAAATTTGATTTGACAAAACATGTGACATGCCTAAATATGGTCATGATGACATCACATCATCACCATATATAGGCACATCATGACTATATATGGGCACATCATGACCATATATAGGCACATCATGACTATATATGGGCACATCATGACCATATATAGGCACATCATGACCATATATAGGCACATCATGACTATATATGGGCACATCATGACCATATATAGGCACATCATGACCATATATAGGCACATCATGACCATATATAGGCACATCATGACCATATATAGGTACACCATTACCATATATATGCACATCATGATCATATATATGCACATCATGACTATATATGAGCATACAATAGTTTTTTTGTCAAAGAAAATGTTATAGTCTGAATAGAGCCTGAGTTATAGGTTTGCATTATGATGATAATATATAGAGACAGGGGTATTATTTAAGCAGTTTTTTTTTTTTACATCATAATTTTTGGTCCACATTCTATCGAAATTGAAATAACAAAGCTTTACATGCTGTAATAGTTGTGTTGCAATATGAGGCATGTTGTGGCAAAATGGCTAAGTTGTAGCAAAAATTGAAATTTAAGTTTAAGTGATCTTTAATACGAGGGGTCATTCATTGAAATTGGACATTTCAAGCCTCGGTTATTGGAAAGTGAAAGTACCACACTCTTATTGTCAAGATAAACATGATTTTGAGTAATTGCCTTTCAAAGTTTAGAATGAACTATCAAAATAACATTAAATAAACAATTTGTTGACCACTTCCAGAACTAATACTTTGGGACATGATTAATAAGACATCAAACTGTTGATCTAGAGTAAAAAACAAATTTGGATTTTTAGGCAATTTTTTGAGCTCCCATATTTTATAGCTCATTTACTCAATACTGGTCTGTGCAACAACTTAACCATTTCGCCACGACATGCCTCATATGCATCTTTATGATTGAAATACGAAAATGAAAGTAAACACGAAAACAACTGTAAAAGTTTCATTCATCATACTTCTTTATCCAGGTACTACGTGGACACATGGCGCCCGTGTTACATGTACAGTTCAATGCTTTACGCATGCAGCTCGTCAGCTTCTCCAAAGACAAGGTGTTGAGAGTATGGGATGTACAACTACAAGTGTGCTTACAGCGAATGGCAGGAATGTTCCCAAAAGGACCAGAAAGTATTATATTTATGTTGTATTTTATCACCCTTCCTCAATCATCCCTTCCCTTATGAAGCAAGTGCTTGGTATATTTGCAAAATTATTAATTTGTTCAAAACAAGTATGCATGGCTTCAGTCGGCTACTGAAAAAAAATTGTAAATTGTAAAGTTTTAATTGATAATTTCTCTTGATAATACTGAATAATAAAGTGGATTAATTTTTAATTTAATTAAACACTTCAAAACATCAGTTTACCACTTTCTGTAAATCCTAATTCTGAACTGAAATTTTATCAATCTCATGTTGATTCATGTTTTATTGGGAATTCAGGAGATTTTCCTACATTACATTTCTTTCATCTATTTGATAGTGGCCACATCTATGTTCTTCCACGAGGACCGCAATCGCCTCTTCGTTACATTCAACTATCAACTGACTCTCCTAGAGATGAAACCTGAGGTCAAAGATCGTACTCTTAGTCATGAGAAGCCAGTCACATGTGCAATTTATAACTCTACGTATAATCAGGTATGACATTCATCAGAATTTTGAATTATTGAATGAGGTAAAACTTATATGAAAATATGCATTTGAATGTGGGAGCCAAAAAACACAGATATGTCTGGTGTAGTATGGTAAAAAAAACCTTTAATTAAACTCGTAGTTTAAAATTATCTAATCTTTTATCAATTTTCAATGAGACCCAGGTCAAAACAATTCAGTTTGTTAATGTACAGACATTTTACTCCTTAAATTGATTAACCAGTTTAATGGTCTGTGCAATACAGTAAACATACTGATGAGGACAATTTTTTCCCAATCTGATCTTTAATTGTAAATTAGCAAAAAAAATAGGGAATTGAATTTTTATTTTATTTTTTTAACTCATAAGGTGAGACTTTTTTTATTCCTTGTTTGGCATATTTATTTTTTTTAAGATTATCAGAGGAGGGCGGAATGAAAATAAAAATAATTTTTTTTTCTTATTTAGCAAGGAGTTTTGCCAAAAACGTCCAGATGGAGGAGAAAATAAAATGTTATTTGTGAATGTGATGATAATAATGTTTTGATGGTTAAATGCTTCAAATGTATATAATTAAGAAGAAAAATACATATTTTATCTTCTTTTATTTCAAGTCAGCGAAAGGCATAAAAATGAAGAAACATTTTAATTTTTTTCTGAAATTTCCACTTTTTCGTGGCGGCAGGTGCGCTAATTTGCCAAAAATAAAATTTTATTTTTATTTGAAATCATCAATATTTGCAGTCGGCGGGTTCACTAAACAAGGTATAAAAAAAGTCTCGCCTAACATATAGTGCATCTTAAAGGTCAAATCAAAGGTTGAATTTAAAGTTGATTATAAGTGTTATAATTTTTAGGTTGTTAGTGCATGTCAAGGATCTACAGTGATTGTCTGGATGTTGGATACTGGACAGAAGGCTAAGCAGTTCCTTAACTGTCATGGTAACTCGGAAATCACAACACTTGCGTTTGATCAAAGTGAAACCAGGTTCATGACGGGTAGTACAGATGGTACAGTTAAGGTAATTAATAATACAAGATTGATACATTTAAATAATGCTTGTTTATCAGGTGAACTTTTCACTGACACTATGTTAAATTTAATATAATTAATATAGATCTCAATTTGAAAAAAGATATGATCTTAAGATGAATTTATGAAACGTATATTAAGGAGAATGAATTCCATGTAGGAAGGAAATAATACTAGAATGGAAAGTTCTCTAGTTCATCCATGGTGTACACAAGAACATAATCAATCAATCAATCAGTCAGGGATCTCTGGTCTCCTGCAATTAGCTGGAATTTCTCTGAAATGGGTATCACAATGTGGAAAAAAAAGGAAATAGTCTGAGAGTGCCATTTGCGGCCATCTAGAGGTGCCATAATCATGGTGGGACTGATGTGGTCTACACCCTCCTTCTGTGAAAGTCCCTCCCTGGGCCCCCTCTATTTTGAATTCTTGATTTGCAACTCCAGATCTCTCGGGATTGACTTGGGACCCCTGAATCAATCAATCAATCAATTACCTAACTTTTTTGGAAACAAGTCCATATTATGTATAATAAAATATGTTGTTGATTAGTCTAAATAAGATAACATTTATTGTCCAATAAAACAACTGGAAATTTGTTTTCCTCTGGCAATACAAAGACGCAAAGCAATTACAGTTAAAATAGAATTAATAAAAAATGTTAAAAAGGTCAAAATAAAGGATATTTGAGATCTTTAACTTAAAAGGGTAATTAGAATAAGATTAGTAAAAGTATTTCAGAAATCGATCTTTTTAAAATAAAGTGATACATACAAGACATTGACAATTTTAAAATGAAATATATGAAAACTAAAAGTATATAAGGTAATGTAAAGTGAATCATAATAAAATAGTTATCACTAATTTGAGTATAAACTATATAGACCAAGATTTACAATTTCTTTTGGATTTTTTTTTTTAATCAGATTTGGGATTTCAATGGTCACTGCCATAACATGTTGAATGCTGGGATGGGTACTGCAGTTGATATCTACCAACTTCTCACCCTGAAGAGGTCTATGCTAATTTTAGGCTGGGACAGGTAAGGCTAATTGTTGTGTATAATGACCTTCACAATCAGTGCTTGTGATATTTAACAGCATATATTAAAATCCATGCAAGTCTGTGGAACTAATCTAATTATTTTTAGACTAACTGTTTATAAGATGATATAGGATATTTTATAGCTTCAAAAAATAACTTTTAGTAGTAAACTAAGTGTCATTTTAATTTGGAGAGAATTGGCTATAGCATGGTTGGTCATTGTGGTTAAGTGTTGTGATGTATTTATCTATTAATGTAGATGATTTCAATGGTTGATATTAAAAAAGAGAAATGAAGAATCTATACGTGTTACTATCATTAATTTTCCACAGGTATATAACAGTCTTCAGAAATCAACAGTTAAATCAATTTCATGTTGAGCCATCAGATTGGAAGGGTGGGCAAGTAAGTGAGACACTTTTCTTTATAAATTTTTGTAATATTTTGCAAAATAATCCAAAGGTTTAATTACTCTATGGGCCTTATTATACTGCCCTCACAGGAGCATCAAGATGACATTTTGTGCGCATCATTTCAACCTCCCAGCACACTGGCTACCGCAAGCTATGATGGCGAGATTGTCATCTGGAATACTAACTCCGAGGTAGCCTCAAAACATCTGAGAGAACGATTCCTGAAGAAGAGCATGCGCTCTCGAGAAAAAACAAGACTGGTAAGATTTTTAGGATTAGATGTATGAGCACAACAAGACTTCCATATATGGTTGTAAGTTTTAAGAAAACAATACTTGTAGTGTAGTATGTGTAAATAAACAGCATTTTGAAGTTTGAATGAGTATCTTACATCATTGCTGTGGTTTTTTGTTACAATTGTCCCACCTTGTTTCTTGATACAGACTCTGAAAAGTGAGCCAACTTTTCTCAGCACATCAAAATTCACATCACAGTCAAATAGGCGTGGGTCAAAGTTTACCAATCAAGATGATGTCCAGTTGTTGCGACAAAACACAAGGCCAGTCAGCAGTTTGAGTGAAGAGAGCGTAGATGAACAAGTAAGTTTTTCAATCAACAACTAATTATAATTGATACGACCAGGTTTTCATTTTTTTCTCCTCATTTTTGTGGTGGGGAGGGGGGAGAAGTTACTTTGTTTTTCATATTTCAAAAATTGTTTCATCATATTACTGTTTGTTTATTGGAGTTTGAACCAGACAACTGACTAAACAGGAAGGGGGTGATACCATGAAAGTCCACAGATTATGATACATTATTTATACCTTCATCTTTTTTTATCTTGTAGAATGACTATATAATCACTAGAGTTGCATTCCTTGAATCTCGGAAGAACTCATCGGCAGCTGGGGGTGCTAATCTTGTCTCGTGTGGGGGTAACGGCTGGGTCAGGTTCTGGAACTCAAGCAAGAACAAATTAATAGCGGAGTTCATAGCGCATCAGCATGGTAAAGTCTGTTATTTAGTTTGATTTATTCAGTGCAAAACTTTGACAAACAGAAGACTCATTCCCATGGGGGAATTCTTAATCAGCTTGTCTGTGGTATTATATTCAGAATTAAAACCTAGGAACTTGTAATTGGAAAACTGAAATTGAAACAAGCAAGATTATCACATTCTACACTACAGAGAGATTCTACCGCATGCGTTACCAAATAGTTCAACAATAGCATAGCAGGAATTGGGTTAAAATGGTGTAACAATAACCACTGCCTTTTTTTAATTATCATTTTATTGAGGAGTTCTAAAGTATATGTAATAAACAAGGCTGCAGTGCTGTTAACAGACGTCACTTAGCAAATTAACCCATTGATTTGTGTAATATGTAATAACTTCATTGCATATATTATTGTTCTTCATTCTAGTGGGTCTATTAGTGATGGCTGTTAGTGAAGATAACCACTTTCTTGTAACGGGGGATAATGATGGAACCCTCAAAGTTTGGAACATTCAAGAGTATTGCTTAAGAGAATCAGAAAGTCTTGTCACACAACCACCACGTAAGTTAAGGGTCACAGTAAAGTTATGGAAAAGTTAAAGTTAGTTAAACTTAGGGTTTAGTTGTACTTATTTTCATGCACAAACAAAAGATGCTTTTTATACTAGAAGACCTATATTGTAAAATTTAGTAAAGTCAAAAACATTTCAGTACTTGAGTACTGTTTTTTTTTAAATGTTACTGTTACATAAAAAAATATTAAAAGGAATAATATATAGTAACAATCAATTATATAATAATAATAATAATTTGGATTTGTAAAGCGCAAAATACATAGGTCTATATGCGCTAGAAATTTGCAAATTAAAATAAACTAAAGAGATGAGTCTTGAGACGATTTTTAAATATCTCAACGAACAAAGATAGGCAAGCTATTCCACACCTTGGGAGCAGCAACGGAAAATGCTCTTTCACCATACGTTCTTGTACGACATAAAGGGATGAATAATGTAGATGAACTAGATGTAGATCTTAACGCTCTAGAACAAGTGGTGGAGCGAAGTTTAATATACTAGTTATAGATTATAAGAATTTTGGGATGATGATGATGATGACTTATTTTTCCTCCAGCTTTAGCAGCCTCCTGGCAACCTCATGTCGACATGATCAATCACATTACGCTGTGCGAGAGGAATGATCGCTTACTCATCATAACAGCCTCTCTTGATTGCAGTGTCCAGTTGTGGGATATCTATGGTAACCAGATTGGGGTGTTTGGACAGGTTAGCTTGGTTTATCTTACCTAAAATTAATGTCTTCCCAACATCAGCCTGCATTCTCATTCACTGCAAGAACATGCTTTCCACAGAACTGCGTTTTATAACCTCAAGGAAGAGGCGCATTATAAATACCTATAACAGTACCATAGGGGCTTTCAGTACAATCAGAGCTGAACTAGGCTAATTAAAATATATAAAATCAAGGTACAAAAAGGTAAAAGTACTTAAATACAAGACAAAAAGAAAAAAATTCCAACAATAGGAAATACACTTAAAAAGATAATTTGGGGGCCGGATTTTAAAGATATCAATCACAAAGAATACCGAGTTAAAACATTAAAATTAACTTAATCAACATTTTAGCATATCTGTCACAAAAGTTGACTTGCACCTAAACACCATATGTTTTGCATAGTAACATAAAATTTCTATTCTTAGGAGGATCACTGGAAGATTGAGCCATATGTCCCACCTCAAGATGAGCAAAATCAAAATGATGATGAGGTAAGCAAACAATAATGTACTATATTTCACATTTTTTTAATGAATTAAATTGGAAGTACAATGCCTCTTTAAGGTAAACATGCTTTAGAACCATTTCATTAAAAAGAGGAAAAATGTATTTTCACATGATTAAATGACACTATTATATTTGAGGGATTGATGCAACAATATTTCAATACAATTAGAAATGTATGGATTATGTATATAGGATTGGATTGGACTTATTCTGTGTAAACACTAAGGATAGCCCACGAAAGTCTAGAAGAAGACTTATTTCCAGTGGGGTCCTTTTGGTGGTGATTGGGCAGTACACCAGGAGACAATCCCCTACTCTTTTCCGAAGACTGTACTGCGTTCTTTAAGGTGCACATGGGCCATAAATGCACACATCCGAAAGACAGTGCGCTATTGTAACTTGTATTTCAGCCCTCCATCTGAAACACAAGGAGAGGCAGCAATGAGAATTGAACCGGGAACCTAGAGATCTCCACGGTTCTGCGCACACACAGTGGCTACCACCAGATTAGCTGACTGAGCTAAGCCGCTCTCTCTATACATGTAGGCCTTGAAAAGCACTGATGCTCACAATGAAGATGGAGGAAAGCAACAGTGGCCCTGAATGCTTTTGTCAGTCCTCGGCTCTCTTATTTTATATATGTATATATATATATATATATATATATATATCACCACCTGATGAAGGGCGATGCCCGAAAACGTTTGTGTTTTTTACCATTAAAAGTTACGGCTACTCTACCCTTTGCATCTGTCTCTTATACACATCTAGATGTGTATAAGAGACAGGTCTTTTACCAGAATCATATTACTGTAATCCATGTGACAGACCTATTTACTTCTTAGCTAGTTTCGTAAAATCAATAAAAAGTAATTCATTGTCAAGCCTCGTGGCTCATAGTGGCTGGAGCTTATCCCAGTTTCTGTAGCATGAAACAGATGAGAGTGTGATACTCCCCTTTGGTGGGACTCTGGTCCACCGCATGTAACTCACAGCAATTTACTGATACCCACTGATACAGCTGGGTAGACTGGAGCAATGTAGATAAAGTGCCTTGCTTAATAACACAAGCAAAATGCACAGCAAAGGATTGAAACCCTGACCTCGAGGCTGGGAAACCAAACCATTACCGCTGCGCCAAAACTGCTTTCACTGTCTCTGAGAGTTATATTTCCCTGTAGGGCATTGAATAAACAATATAAAAGAGAAAATATACATTCTTAATAGTGATGATGGATTTTTGTAAGTTGTAATTAAAATAAATTTCTTGCTCATGATAAAAGCCAGTAGGAACAAAAGAAGATGAAATGGAACAGCCAAGTCAGGTAAAATATAGAATGTGCTAGTCTTTTAAATCCTGCATCTTGGAACTTGTCTTGCATGAAAAACTAATTAATATTAGCTTGTGTGCACAACTTCTAACATTTCTTTTTACAGTACTGTACAAAGCTTTTAAATTTTTAGAAATAGTTTCTATGTTGATAGTTTATCTTATTGCAGTTAATAATTTTAGATTGTAGTTATTTCAATAAATTGTTATTTTTAAGAAAGGCCAAGTTTTAGACATTTTATTTAGTATTTATGTAAGTGCTTGGTTTCTATAAATATTCTTCTTTGGTAGCTATTGGTGTTTTAGTGCATGGCTTGCTATAGTGCAATCAGGGAGATGTAAAAAATATTTTTTTTACATCTCCCTAGTGTAATAATATATCTTTTCAGACTGTCCAAATGTTCAATAATTTTAGCAACCTTATTTAATTCAGATGATAATCTAGCCTCTCTTATTGGAAGCACTGATGCTCACAATGTAGATGGAGGAAGCAACAGTGGCCCTGAATGCTTTTGTCAGTCCTCGGCTCTCCTCTTATTTTACATATATATACTGTATATATATATATATATATATATATGAGGCATGTTGTGGCAAAATTTAAATTCAAGTTATTGGTATTTCAAATACCTGAGTATGTGATCTTTAAAATGAGAGGTCATTCATTCAAATTGGACATTTCAAACCTAAGTTATTGGAAAGTGAAAGTACAGTACTCTTAGAGTCAAGATAAACAGGATTTTGAGTAATTGCCTTTCAAAGTAATTTGTGCATACATTGTTTAATAGAATGAACTATGAAAAATAACATTAAATAAACAATTTTCTTAACCACTTCCACAACTAATACTTTGGGACATGATTAATAAGACATTAAACTGTTGACCTACTACAGTGAAAAACAAATTTGGATTTTTTATCAATTTTTTGAGCTCCCATATTTTTAGCTCATTTACTCAATACTAGACTGTGCGACAACTTTACCATTTCGCCACAACATGCCTCATATATAACTTCGCACCATTCTGTTTTTTCAGGATCTATTCTTGAAACAAGTTTGTTCCCTATTTTTTGGACAGTCTGTCTTACCACAAAAAAAAAAAAATAGGTTCTGCTTCTACATTCTCTTGCTTAGCTATTATAATGAGTACTATCGATTCTATAATAAATTATAAGCTTTTTTTGTCTTATTTTGAGTCCTATGAACCAGTGCAGTTGCATTACCATGTAAATCCCTTACTAAAATGTAATTCTGTTTAGAGAAAACCATACAGAGCTGATAAGGGATATAGATAAATTAGCATACGTAATGAAAGAATAAAACTTGTTTATAAATATTGATTAGATCAGAGGAAAACATTGATTCCTTTTTTGGTAACAGAATGAGAGTTGATTTATAACCAAATGAAAAAGTTCAAGGTGCCAGTCAAAATCTGCAGGGAACATTATCTGGTATAATGATTGATGGTATCCTGCACAATACGTCGCTCACATCACAAAATAACACAATGTAGATTGTGTTAGTTCATGAAAACAAGAAAACGCGTCAAAATAAGTGCGTATTGGTTGTCAAGCACTTGTATTTTTTACCTCACAAAAGTCGGTAATAGCAACAGCGCATATTTTAACACTTTTTTTTGTTAACAAATTAACACAATACACATTCATTGTTTTTGTTTGTGATTTGAGTGATGAATTACCCCCTTTCTCTTTGCTTTTATATTAGATGGGTAATTCTGACAGCTGTGATTCAGCAGATGACATGGGAGGCATGGACGTTGATTATGACTCTCTACCTGAAGGCTTCTTCGAACCACTAACTAAAGTGAGCACGTGGGGAAAGACGAGACTTGGTAAGGAAAAATACACACATAATGATGTTTTTAAGTGTCCACAAATTTTTTGTTGGTGCCAAATATTTTTGAAATACATATTTGTTAAATTTTTTATTATTAGTCTCAACTGCATGACACTGAATTTGAAGGCAAGAGTTTACATGTTAGACTTCTATCAAGATCATTTAAAAAAAGAAAAAAGTTGCTGGAACTATTCATAGAAGGCTGTGCTTGATATTCCATGTTTTTTTTTTTACCTCTTAAATTTTTAGGTAAAGGCTATCAGGAAGTTAGGTCAAGGAAACGAGAGAGGAAACAGCCTGGGACCATCCCAGACTTGCCGTATTTGACATCAGAAAGGACAGGGCAAACACCAGCAGGCCCTTATGGAGTAAGTAATCTGCTTTCTCAGTTGTCATGATAAAAACAATTCTGAGTATCATCTGAGTAAAACTGGCCCTAATTAGAATTGGTTTTATATATTTCAAGTTTGTTGTTTAATCATTTATAAGCGTAGCTCTACTAGATCTTAAACCAGGCAGTCACTGTGTGTTACAACAGTCGTATGAGAAATCCAACTACGCTACCTGTGAGCAAATAGATAATGTGACGTCGTCTAGTCATTTTATTGGCGGCAGTCTGAACGAATGGACGCATTGTTGCATTGCATTCTCCATATGCGTCGACTGACTACCATAGGGCACAGCGACACCTGGCTTTAAAATATTCAGTGATTATAGAGACAGGTAGAAATTAAGAAGAATAAGCCTAAAATACATGTTTGGAAAAGTTTTTAAGAAAATGCTAAACATATTTTTTAATCAATAGTTAGAGAATGTTCTGTTTTTTTTTTCTTTTTATAACTTACTTTTGATTAAAACCCTATGAATCCAAACATAAATTATAATTGTAATTATGCTGTATTCATTTCATATTTTCAATATCATGTCGTGTCTTTTTTAAATCAGGAAAATCATGTACCAGTTCTTTGGACTCAGGTTTGTATTGCATTGCATCATGGTACATTGCATCATGAATAATTGCATGATACCGCAGTCAAATTAATATTGCTTAGAATTTATCCACTACAACTTTTACATATAAATGACATGCAGCTTGAACCTGTGTTGACTATTGTGATGCCATGTGGTCATGCTATTTTAAGTTCTACTAAGATGTTTTAGATCATATGTTTTTTCACTTTTTTTTTTTTTTGGCCTGTTTTACTGGTTCAAACGTGGCTGCATCAGTTTTTAATTGGAATCTGATTGCACAGCTCTTCATATTACTCCTCTTGTGAGAATTACCAGGATAAGGAATAGTGTATCTCTTACATGTTGATACTGGCAAATGCACAGTGGCTACTGCAGCTTCCCCCCCCCCCCCCCCCCCCCCCCCCACAACCCCAACAAAAAACAAGGACCCATTTAAAATGGACAATAGGGGGAAAAATTTAATTACTATAATTTTTCATTATTATGCCCGTGCTAAACTGTATGTACCATTACCAACAGCTTGAATATATAACATGTACAGCATACTATATATATATATATTGTGTGTGGTATAGCACATTCATTTCATTCATGTACAATATTTTAATTGAATTGTTTACATCAGTCATCTGTGTATTGAGTGACAGATTCAGAAAGAACTACATGTTCCACTGTTTTAACAATTTTTCAAAAAAATTACTGAAATAAATAAAAGTCTTCTGATCCAAAAAAAAAATCAGTTGTAGTCATTTCATCTTCTTCTATCCTGTCTTATTAAACTGAATCAAAATGGATTTGTAAGTTGAAAAAAAGAAGCTAATATGATTGAGATACTGTTTCTACCCCCATGACCCTTATTTAACCATTGTCATAATATATTTATTATTAATATAAACACAAATATTTCATCACCATCTTCATTTAGTTTTTAAGACATCATCGCTTCAGTTGCATGTATTTGTTCATTGAACACTTGTTTTTAGGTACTGCTCATGCTTCAGTTTATAACTCTACAACAAGTATGAAATGCATGATTTATATTTATCTGTTTTGAAAATATTTTGCTTCGTTACAAACCAATAAATTTCTTTTGTTTTAAATATGCAGTCACTGGTTAATATTGTTCTTATTATATACTACATATATCCAAAGCTTATATGTTCTTTTTAAACAACCATACAAAATAGAAAAAAATAAATAAATAAAAAAATAAAAAAAATAATTTAAAAAAATAAATAAAAATAAAAAAATTAATAGATAAATAGATTGAACTTTTAGGAAAACCTTATACTCAGTCCCTTAGGGAAAGAATTCTAAAATATTGCTGCTAGTAACCAGCACATAAGCTTTGGAACATACAGGTATTCACTGTACTTTCTTAATTAAATAACATTGATAAAGTTCCTGGCCCAAAAACACATGCAAGTGGCCTGAAAGAGAATCGAATCAATCTTAAAGGAGACATTAGCGCTACCACTGCACCTACCACTCCCACATTAGAGCTCATCTTAATTTAATTCATTGACATTTAAAATTGAGCTATCATTTAAAGCTCATGTTTTAAATTGATCCTACAGTTATGTTCATTTATCTTTGAAATTGAGCTCTCTTTAAAAGTGCTTTTAATACATTCTTTGATCTTAGGCATTAATCGTGAATGAATTAGACACAGTTGGTACCTTGAAGAGGCCAGATTTTGTTGTCCATCCTCATCGGTATTTCAGAAACAACGAGGAGGAGGGGAAGCAAGACACCAAGCTACCATCAATAGCCGACGGTCAGTCTTATCATTTAAATCATTGAATATGCACCTCTCCACAATTGCATGATTAATTATTATTGTTATTCTTTATTATAATTAACTATTATTAGTAATACAAATAATGTTAATTTATTGGATATAATAATATTCATATGAAATTCCATTTATAAAAATGTACAAATAAAATGAAAGTTAAATGAACTTAATTAAAATTGCACAAAGTTTACAACATAACAGTATAAGATAAAAACGTAGGAACAATGAGAATAAAGACTGGTTTCAGTGGGGTACAGTGAGAGTACCATGAAATAAGCACCATGTTGTAAGTATGTACTATGAGTGTTTAATTGATACTGAAAATCTATTTACAGAACTCAAGACTGCATTTGACGAGAGAAGTCTCTTTCCAAAGTACATCCTAGAATTTGAAGCGAAAATGAAAACACTGCACAAAGGAGAAATTGAGGGAGCACTTAACACTCAGAAGAAAGATGGGCAACGCTCTAAGTCTAGGACATGGTCTAACAACACAAACTTCACATCATCAGTGGCTAGTATACAGAAGTCCAGTACAAAGCCTGCAAGACTCACTCCAATTTTAGAGAAACAAAAAATGCCTTCACGAGTGAATGAAAGTATGTGAAATTGGACTTTTCATCAATTTTTCATGATCAGCTCTTCATGCAAATGGTCATCAGAGGGTCATCAGCTATGCTACTTCGCTAGATGTTTTCATGTTTTGAATGCAACACCATTATCATTTGAATAATGTGCCTGGATGAGCAACATCATGTGACCAGTGATTTCAGAGATCTCAAAAGAAACATCAGCAAATCCATACATTTTGCCTGTACTGTTGTATTGTATGTTTGCATTGTTATGTCATTGAGTTGCCGTCATCATTCCTGTCATTTTATTGGATCATCAAGACAATATGTATAGTGATGTCAGAAGTATTAAGGCCAATCCAACTGGATCCATACATTTGCCTCATTTATATACAGTATTGCATGTTTTATCATGAATTTGTTGTATCTCCCATCATTTTATTGGATGATTAATGCCATGTGACTAGTGATTTATCAAGAATGAATTTAATCCTTACATTTTACCTCATAATTGCATATTTGAGACATTGCATCATTTAATGATTGTATGGAGGTGCAATAGGCAGGCCCGTAACCAAGTTCATGGGTTGTTTCCTAAGTTTAACTCAGAAGTGTTTCTTTAATAAACATAGTTAAAATATACTATTAGAGTAGTAAACTACCGTATTCAAAAGGGGAGTTCGACCAAAACCCCCTCCCACTGTGGCCATTCCAAAGCAAAAAACGTAACTGCACAAAAATATAATATAGTTACATTGTTTCAATTTCCAATGGACGGCTACATGGTTACGAGCCTAAGTTATGATAAAGGGGGAAAAACGCTTTAAATGTTACAATGTAGGGATAGTTAAATCCAGTTTAAATATGGGGCTAATGGTAACAGTTATGGCACCTAGTACCTCATCCCATCTACATACATGCCCTTTCACTTGCTATCAAATATGATTACATTTTCAGTTGTCTATCTTATATTCCAGTGTTACACAGTACGGATGATAACGCAAAGAAGTTACAACCTTTATTTCAAGGTCGACTCAGTGCACCACGACCATCCAAGGTGTTTGCAATCAATATGGAGGATTTGATTTATGAATATTGATAAAATAATAAATCAGAATTTTTTACCACACCAATTCAAAAATTATCAAAGGCGCACGTGAAAAATAAACCAGACTAAAAAAGCTTTAAAAAATAAGAAAATTTTGAGCTTTTTCTTAAATAGAACTAAATTTGCAGACTGCATAACAGAAATGGATAACTGGTTCCAGAGAATTTAGAGACATTTAATATTTATGTTAAACATGGAGTTCAGCTCTGTGGTTTAACTCTTTTTACATTGGTTCCTGCAAGAAGATATAAAATATATGATATAAAGAACAAAACTCCATATTATCATCCCAAATATGGTGTTGGTAGAATTATAAAGAAAACAAATAATGACGACACTAATCATGTTATTTGGTGTTTTTAGTCAATATGTTGCTGTGTTGACCTAATTTTATTTAAATTAATCAGGTCATTGATGTGGCTACCGCATGTCTTGATAAAGATACTTAATAGATCCAGTACCAGTATTGGTATATTTATTATAGTATACCGTAAAACCATGAATTGAAGTCCTCTGGGCTTAATCTCGAGATGAAGCCCATCTCGAATTGAAGCCCCCCCTCTTTAGTTTGCAAAATTAGCCTCGAAAAGAAGCCCATGGGCTTCTTTTCAAGATAGCGTGGGCTTCTTTTCGAAATAGTACAGTACATACACTGTACATGAATTTAAAAAATTAAATTAAAAAAAAGCTTGGTTTATACAGTAGTTTAGGAAAGACTTTTTTTATCCTTGTTTTGCGTACTTATTTTTTGAAGGTCATCGGAGGAGGGCGGAATAAAAGTAACATTTTGTTTTCTTATTTAGCAAATAGTTTTGCCAAAAACATCCAGATTGAGGAGAAAATAAAAATAAAATTTTATTGGTGAATGTAAAATGGGATGGTTATATGCTTTAAATTTATGTAATTAGGAAGAAATATACATATCTTACCTTCGGAGATTTCAAGGCGGCTGAGGGCGTAATAAAAATTAAAATTAAAAAAAACATCTGAAAAGAAGCCCATCTGAAGTTAGCAACAAAAAAAAAAGCCCAGGGCTTTAATTCGAGGGTTTACTGTATCATCACTTTTAGCCACAATCAGTCTACTGCAGGATAAAAACTTCAGCATGCTGCCTCCCAAAAACTCAGCTGTAGCACACAGATACTAGTTTCTCTTTTAATTACTGAATTATTTTATTATTTTGTTTTGAATTATGTCCTCAAGTTGAGTACTGTATGCTATTTTCAACTGTATATTTAATAATTGAATGTTCTTGTATAATACAACATAAATAAAACGATATGCAGTTTGTATTTTTTGTACAAAATTTATTTATTAAATGTTAAATAACAATTGAATGCAACATGTGTACAGAGTGTGTAATATTTTTTGGCTGACAACAAACCATCATACAGAAGATATAACTTCCCTAATTTCCAATGCAGTTCTGTCACACAATCACTACCCCATCATAGCATTTCTTTGCCATTTAAATTATAACATGTACACAACTTGTATGAGTATACTGAACATGATATAAAATACACAAACCAGAAATGATTACAAAAGAAATTAGTCGGCTTATCCGATCCAGATAAGTATTCACAAAATAGACCCCCAAATTTTTGCTACTGTAGTTTTACGAATACATTTACTGCCAATGATGATAATGTTCAATAACAAAAACTGTTCAGGAAGCCACAGATGATGTTCTTTCTAGAAATTTTTTAAACATGATTGTGAGCGTGAATGATGATTAATTATTTCATAATATACAACTAGGAGTAATTTTGTAGACAATTATACCGTTGATTCTTTTATAGGCATTTATACAGTATACAACCTAGGACACCTTCATTGATATTCCAGCATAAGAATATAGTCGAGAAACTCATGTGCCAACATTTTTTAAACGCCTGTGGGTACCTCAAAATTGCTGCAACCATGTTGAAATTAAATGCATACACAAGTAACTAGAAGCATTGGCAGCTAGATGTTTTTGAATATGCATGAGTTCCATGCATATGTATGATCATCGGAGTTGACAATAGAAGGAACACAAAACATTCATATACCAGAAGCGCCTGTTGGTTCTTCAATCACTTTCTTCATCATCGCTAAATGCTAATGCTTTCAACTTCTTCTTTTGACCTTCGTCTGATTTTGCTTTCCTCTTCTTTGATGTACTATCATCACTCTGAGTAAAAAAATACAATCATAAATTAGTTGTAACAGATAGTACGGTGATTTTCTTCTAATTTTAATTATTCAGTAACAGTAGCTTATCTAGAGGATGTGCAGGGAAGGCAAACCCCCAAAAAAGAGGTCACCTCCCCAGTTGAAAATGTTTGAACAACAAAATATCAAACTCATCGAGCCCTCACTTCACCTCCCACCCCCACCAGCCTTCTCCATTTCAAGACTATTAGATACCCCACTTTTCAGTAGTACAGTGTTCTTGATGGAGTGTTCTTGATGGCTGCAAGTGTTGTGTGTGAGTGGTTTGTACAATGGTTTTGGCTTAAACTATACAGTTTCAATCACATGCTAGTCTGTTGTTGATATTCATAATGTATATTTGTCTCTCTTCATCCAGTTTCCAATGAACAGGGCAATGACGTAAAGTAGTTAATAACAGTAATGTTCTATGTTAAATGTTTGTACATGACTGGAAATAATCCCCTGGGAGCAGTATGGGCATGAGGGTGATGATGAGAGGTTGGGCTGATAGGGAAGAGGCAGGTTTGATAGGACAATGCTAACTGGGGAAATATGATTTTTAACTACTGTATATGAATAATATTTTTGCTCAGCATAATTTCTAGTGGAAGAGGGGTCACCTGGGATGCACACTTTTTTCTGGACCCCATAGATAGGTTGTACACTATGTCACTGTTTACATTGAACATGGTAATACTACGGAAAGCATTTTGAAACCTTTCTGTGAAAGGGGATACACGAGTCCCAAATCTCCCGGAACTCGCAGGGATTTCCCGGAAATCAAGACGGCCTTCCGCATTACTGTTAGCTAGAAGTATCTTCTGAAAAATAACCCATCTCCTCCAAATTTTTAATATTTGCATGACTTTTTATTACTTTATTACCATATCAATTGTCTCGCGGAAAGTCAGAGCCACTGGATATCACCAAAGCCAGCAAAATATAATTAGATGTGTTAAGAAAGGTCATTTAACCAAATCACCAGGAAGTCACTTCTCCCAACTTATGACCCCTGGGGCTATATAAATGTAAAAATCATCAGCTTTGGAAGTTCATTGCTTGCTTACCTCATCTTCTCCTTCACTGTCTAATATTTTGGCTTTCAATAATTTTTCCTCTTTGTCAGATTCCTCCTCGCTTCCTGAAGTATATACCCCTGACCCTGAAAATCAAATATCAAGATATAATAATCCCATTCTGTGCATGTTTCTCATCATATTTGTAGCAATATATTTACAGTGGGTGTGGTCATTTAAATTCTGGTAAAAATAAATGGCTTTAAAAATCATGAAACAATACGAAAATACAGCTGGTAAAAGCAGAAGAAACCTGGGACAACTATATAATTACTTTATATATTAGGCCAGACTTTTTTCATACCTTGTTTAGCGAACCTGCTGACTGCAAATATTGATGATTTCAAATAAAAATAAAATTTTATTTTTGGCAAATTAGCGCACCTGCTGCCACGAAAAAGTGGAAATTCCAGAAAAAAATAAATTTTTTTCTTTATTTTTATTACGCCCTCCACTGTCTTGACCTGTAGTTGTCACATGACTTACCATATAATGGTCCAGGCTGTTTAAATCTGTTCTTGATGGCTGCAAGACTTACACCTTCCTCCTCATCATCTCTACCTTCCAGGTATGAGCGGGTTATGCCTCTTTGGTGTCCCTTTTCTCTGACTCTCTTCTGTTGACTCTCTCTCTTTATCTGTAGTCTTAACCGTTCCTCTTCTTTCTGCAAAAGGAACATTTGTTTATGAATGGAAACCAAACATTCAGACATCTGGTTCTGCCTCACCTTCCCTCTGTGGCTCTAATATGCTCATTTCTTATCTTACCTTAATCATCTCGGCTCTGTGGGACTCCGGATCTTGACCAGCCATAGGCAGCACTCGGATCTTCTGGGTTTTGGAGCATCTATCAGCGACTGACAATGTCATCTTACGATGAGTGGCACTGTTTATTGAATGTGGTCTGTAAAAGTAAAGAAAGAGAATAAAGGTTAGAAAATGATCAAATTTGTCCCGGTTACTGAATGAATTTGACTTAAACACAGCTGACTTAAACAGGGTTGACAGCAGTTGGACTTTCTGTGAGTAATTTCACTCCACCACTGTTCGGAATAACACAGCTTTGCCTACCTGAAGGAGAGTTTGGTTTTAAAGACAGCTTGTCCCTGGAGTCCAGTTCCCTGACGAATGAACAAGTGATTGTGATCACCTTGAATGGCACTTCTGTAAACATCAAATACCTCTTGGCCAAGATGAAGCGACATGCTACAAGAAAAGCCAAAAAAAAAATGCTTATAACATTAATAAATAACAATGATACCAATTGTAACATTAACTATAAAATTAATAACACTACATTTTGTAATGCATCATTTTACAGTATAAATTTATGATCTATTTAATCCTTACTTTTTAACAATCATTTTTGAATGATTTTTTTTCTGCGCATATATTTAGTTATTTACCTTCCATCAGACCATCGGACTATCCTTGCATTGCTCTCTCTGTCAATTTCAATTCCTTCTTCGTCATATATCTTCCTCCACCTAATTGTGTTTTCAACCTGTCAATCAAAGTTTTAGAGTTATTACAAATACAATAAAAATACCTGAATTGAAAGAATTTATAGTCGGTGTATGATATTGGGGGGGAGAGGAGGGTGGTTACGTACCTTTAGTTTTAGCCTTGTTCTACCTTCTTCATCCAGAATCTCATCCTCTTCAAATTCATCTTCAAATGTATTGGGATCAAAGGGCCTTCAAAGATCAGAAAAACAAAAAGACACTAAATTCAACTTTCAACTTTTCAACTAAATACTATAGTTTGCTCAATCAATCAATCCTTATTTATTCAGCTATAAAAACTTTTTAGTTAGAAACTATTATTTCTCATATTATTCTCATATATTCTTCAAAACTGATATATAAAAAAGAAACAAGAGAGGTCCTCACCTTGTATCAACACTGAGAAAATTAGGTAATTTGACAAAATGTAATTCATCTCCAAGGTCTGTTGATAGTTTTGGTAAAGAAACATCAATTCTTGTCTCTAAAACCTCTTCTGGTTCCTCTTGCTGGCCTTCCTCCTGATCAACCTACAAGAAGGAATTAATCAAATATTTTTACTTTATACCTATTCAACAATGTTTGACAGGGTGGCCCTCACAGCAAAACCGACTAAAATATCACAATTACAATTACATAAAGATACCGGTAAAATCATAATCTGACAAAATACAGTAATACCAAAATTAATGACTGAACCACAAAAACATAAAAAAAAAAATTATATTCAATTAGTATGTCCTCTTTCTTTTTTCTGGGATGGTGGTGGGACATTATGACTTTAGTATATTTTCCTGTAGCACCAATGCAAGCAGTGTCAAATCTCTTGCAATTGGGTGGGGAGAAGCAATGATGAGTTTTCCCAAAGGACATAAATAGGTCAATCTAAAACTGGAACCCCACACCTCTCTCAGTTGGAAAACCAGAACCTTCCACTAAGGTACATGCTTATACTATTTGTCATTAATGAACCAGCACCTGCATTTGTTCAGCATCCTCTGCATCACCGCCAGCAAGCTCTGCTGCAATTGCATCCAAGTCCTCATCGTCATCATCAGATATGTCATCTGCATCTCCAAATAGTCCTTCCTGAGTAGCCTGACCTAGAAACAGTAAGAAACAAATGTTTACTTGATTATATTTTTAATTGAAAGATTACTTGTGTAATGTAGTATTAAGGTTCAATGGTATTAACTTGCATAACCATTGGAATCGATACCCTTTAACATTTTAATGCCTTAAATTGGTTTGACAGTTTTAATGGTCAACTTGAGTATACAGATAATCTAATAATATAACTGGACTTTGTATAACTTTACCCTAGTCAGTTGGACTTGGCCTTTCTGACATTATGAATCTATGATTGTCAGTTTTGAGCCTAAGCTCTGAAGTTTGTGATATATCTTAATTAGCAGTTTTTTGGTAAACAAGTTACTATAAATCATAGAGAAAGAATTTCTCTATGATCCAATCAGAAATGGGGTGACTTACTTGAGACACACCCCCATTACCTAAAGTATAATAGGCAAACACCCCCATATCACTGAGTCAGTAGTCAGTAGATTCAGTTTAGTAGTTAGGAGTACACAGAAGAAAAGTACAGAGCTGAGCTGACTCCACTCTAAAAGGGTTCTCTAACATCTGAAACCTGGAGTTTAACTGATTGTAACCAACGTATAGTTTGTGTGAATAAAAGTTTGCAGTGAACTAAAAGGAACTGTGCATACTACTCATTAAAAGTCACCAACAACTAACCGATATTTAACACTTGACTTAAATTTACAAAGTAAATAAGTAATACAAATATAGCTCATTAGCTCAATACAGGTTGTACACTTTCAGTAGAGGGTTTAATATTTTTATATTATTCTTTGCATATTAATCTCTTTTTTAAGACATCTTAATTTAATTAGTATTTTATTATATTTGTATCTTAATTTCCTTGTAAAATACTCTATAATAATAAAGTATATTGATCATTTATTATTATTGGAATGACAGAGTAAAAAATTACCAAGGTTTTCTTCTTCATTATCTGAATCTTTCTCATCACCATCATCATTGTCCATAACTGCTTTTCGCTTTGGTTTACGTCCAATTTCATTTTCACTATCATCACTATCTTCTTTTCCTAAATAATAGCAATAATAATAATAATATCTTTACTACTAGAGATAAAACAAATATCTTTACTACTAAAGAAAAAAAACAACAGAATTTGGGGTTATTGTGTAATCTCTCTTTAAGTTTGTTTTCTTTGAGGTTTAATTAAAAGGCTAATTTACCTGCATCTGAGTCATGCTCCTTTCTGCTCTCTCCATCATCCTCCTCTGCTTTCTCTGCATCAGATCCAACAATGTCTTCAGCACCTGACACAACTTGATCGCCGACGTCTGAGCTCGGTTGTTCTTCAGCATCGGAAGCAATCTGCTGCTCTTCTCCTAAGACTTCCTGATCCTCTTCAGCTTCATCCCCAGAATGGCCTTCTTCAAACTCATCCCCAGAAACTGCAGGTTCTTCTGCCTCAGACTCATGCTCCTCTTCAACCTCAGACTCTGCATCCTCTTCACCACCAGATCCTACTGGTTCTTCCTGCTCCTCTTCACCAGAACCAACTTGTTCTTTATCTTCATCTACTTGAAGCTCTCCATCTTCGCCTCCAGAAACAGCATGTTCTTCCTCTTCACCTGAATCTAGCGGTTCTCCAGTTTCTTGAATCTCATTCTCTACATCAGAATCCATCTGTTCTGGTTCAGACACTGCTTCCTCTCCAGACCCAACCTCTTGCTCCTCTCGCTCTTCTTCTGATGCATGTTCTTGTTCCACTTCTTCACCTTCTGATTGTTCTCTTTGAGGTTCATCATCGGAATCCTGTTCTCCTTCCTCATTTTCTTCAACTTCTTGTTCAACTTCTTCTTCCTGCTCTACATCCCCCTCTTCAGGTGATTCTTCGCCATGTTCTGAACTGTTGGCATTTGATTGTACTTCTTGTTCCTCACCATCCGATTCTGCTCTTTCACTTCCCGATTCTTCATGCTCCTCTGCTACATCAGATCCTGCCTGCTCTCCACCAGACTCTTCATTTACAGAATTATCTTTAGAAAAATTATAAAAAAATACAGTATACTGATTAAATTTATTGTCAGGTTTGCTGTAACTCAAAATGTATGTTGTACCCAAAATGTATGTATTCAGAATTAAGTAAACAGTTTTAAACAAGCTGCGCATTGGAACTAGTTTAACAAACATGTAAATGGTTCATTTGATACATGTCAAAAGCAAGGCCCAACAACAACGCTGCAGTCAGGACAGAAATAAATAATAATAATGCTTCTTAGTTTATGGGCCAGTACTCACAATTTCAAAAATATTTTGGATTATAGCCAACAACTAAGAAAGGAATATGCCGTAATTCTAGGCCTAGCCTAGGCGAATTTTACGTAGGCCCACTAGCTTAGGGATCGTCTACGACCCTCGGCTCCGCCTCGCCTCGCTCAGCGAATGACACGCTGCCAAAAAGATAGTCCTTTTTTGTGTCATGAGCAGGCCTAGGCCTAGCCGAAAAATTTAGGCAATTGCTATGCTTTTTAAGACAAGACCAAGTATCTAAGGAATACAGATAGAAAATAAGTAATCATCTTGTTAGACGATTTTACATCATAGACCTAAAAGCAGATAATAATAGACAACAAAACGTAGAGTACCTTCGTCGCTATCACTGTATGCTTCCTCATCTGCCATTTTCTTTATCCCTGATTGTTTGGTTTGTTTCACAATGCTACAGGTACATGGCCTATTCGTGTGTACATATCTAGTTTAGTAATCTATCAAATTTACTACAATCATGCTCCACTTTTTAGGATATCGATTTGTCTTTTTTTTTCTTAATTAAAATAAGTGTCAGTTGTGGTATTTTTAGCATACGTAAAGTAATAATAATAATTTTGAAATCTTTTTCTATTTTCCCTACATTTTGTGTGGTACAATCCAAGCGCCCCCATCGGTAACTACACGTGTTTGTAGCTAAAGTTCATAGGTTATTGAGAAGTGGTATCAACATAACCGGTTTTCGTTGTAAGAACTTGCAATACAAACACGGGTTGCAATGGGGTATTTCGATTTTTTAGACGATGTTAGGCGGATGAATGCACGACAGGTAAATAAATGAAAAAAATGCAGTGATTTCATGAATTTCTAGGCCTATTTAGCTGTATGTAGTAGACATTTCCTTTTCAGCACCATCCACCCACTTGCCTGGCTAGCTCCTGACCTGTCTGGCTGTGAAGTGATGATGGAATAGAATAGGCTCCATATTGTTGACTGCGGCGAGTGCTGTTATTAAAGCCTAGACTTTTGCCTACCTAAGTTAGAGCCTAGTCATTCCGCTTGATTGAAATACCCAATACTATTGTCCAGGGAATGGTCCTAATTTTTTCTTTCAGATGATAACTTTTGGTGTAGGCCTAGGCCTATCTTGGTTGATAATCAATTGGTCAACAAGTCCTCCAGAGACGCTCTGTTAGTAACTTTTAGACATATGGTAGGCCTAGGCCTATGTTGACAATTTATTTCAGAGGCATAAAAAACTAATTGTAACATAATATTCGTGATAATAATAATAGTACTGTATTAGTATAATTTACCAATTTCTTTAACTTTCCAAAAGGATTCTGCTGTTTTATTGCTTTCACGGTGCTTTTGTGAGAATTCATTATCTATCGTAAGAAAAATGGAATAAATAAGTAACAAATTAAATACAAAACACTGTACTGTACCATAATGCACTTGTCAATTGTAGTCCCGCCCCACAGTGGGCCAGGGCGAAATCAAAGTGTGCCAAAAGTCCATTTTGATGACTATGGCTTTTACACTTTTTTTCACATGATTGAAGAAGGGTATACCCTGGTGAATCTATCCTGAAAATATTTTACATTTAAACGAATTTTAAGGGTGGTATTTTTTAACAAATATCAGAAATTTCTCTCTAAATATTTCAAATGCTATAATTGACTATATTATATAAAAACACATTTTTCTTCCTACAGAAAATTCTGAATTACTGTAAAATGTACAAGTTTCTTGTATATAAATTGGGGAACACAAATATATGTTTTGGTTTAAATTTGAAGTTTGCATCAATAATAAATCGTTGTTTAAAGGGCAGAAAAAATATTTAAAAACCTATTTTTTGAAAAATAGGAGAGAAAGTTTAGATTCATGTGGATTCATGCTTTAATTTTTACATCACCATCTTCAGTATAGCCTTAGCTTTATGATGGTACCAAATTTAGCTGCCTCTTTTTGCAACTTTGCGAGCTAGATGCACTTTTATCAGTCTTCTTTTCGCACATTTGAGACACAGTTTAATTAGAGCAAACCGCAATCAGTAGGGATGTACGCTCGTCTACTCAACCAGTTCATGCAAAGTGTGGGAAAAACACTCCAAAAAAATGTACGCACTGAACTTCTTTATGCAGCATTGCAAGGGGCGTTCAAGAAGAATCGATTTTAAAGTCTACTTGTGTAAAAAATATATACACATTTTATTTCTCCCCGACAAATTCAGGCGTCACCCCTGAGGCCCAAACTGGAATCTTTCACGACAGATAAAACATTGTCCATCTTTGTAGCTCCATAGTGAAATGAGACTCCTCCTTACACCAAAATAAGAGTAGCAAAAAAGCATCTATCCTGGTGGTACAGTATATACCTGTCAAAGAGGACAGCAAAAGTTCCTCTTTAAAGCCTCTTTGTTCAAATTGCACTGAGAATTATCAAAAAAACATAAAACGACCATTATCGATACTTTTACAATATAGGCCTAATATGATTGAGGTTGGAATTAATATATCATGACATTGGTGTAGGCTTAATGTCTGACAATTCCATGAAATCTCAGATGCAAACACATTTTACATTTAAAAAATGTAAAATTAGGTTGTCTGGTATATTATTATGAATTTTAATTTCGATTTCGATTTTGATTTATTAAGAAAAAAAAACATTTATATTTACTGTATAGATTAACAATACAAATTTTAATGTTGGCCTATGCCTAAAACATTTTCAGCCCTGTCCAATCAGAAAAATGTATTTTGATGACGTCATGGAAAATACAAAAAGTTTCTCACAGAAGTTCCTTTGTCCCAAACCTCCCTAAACATTAAAAAAATCATTGCAATATGAACTTGTTTTGGTAATACAATGAAAACTGACATCGTCCAATCAGAAAAACAGTACAAAAATGACGTCATATAGATTTTAAAATGCTTTTATTGAATTCTACGGGTATGCAAACCTCCCTTTACCTGGGCCATACACGTAGGGGGGACTGAGCCGAGGACGTACACATAGTTGTGTCCCATAGTGTCCCAAAATTCACCTGTAGATGTAACATTGAAAGGGCCGCGAATTTTACAAGTTTGAGTAGCCAGGGTTTTGGATGTAGTACTGTCAAATGGTCTGGTCCTGCCTAGCAATTCGCCTACACTAGGCATTCAGCAATTGCTGTGTGTTTTGGTAATTAAAAAATCGCCTACCGGTACTCTAGGCCTGCTAGGTTTTTTTTTTTTATAGATCACGGTATGCATTACATAATAAAATTCGAACCTCCACCACACAACAACGGGGACAGAGGTGACATGCGTGAGTGTGTTGCGTGAAAATTTGTGAACCGTGTATTTTACCTAATTTACGCAAAAAAATACACCTGTAGTTTTCCAAGGCAAGGAATCTGTTTCTACTAACTGTATTAGTTTTCTTTAATTTCTCTTATGATACTGAATAAATTCTGTCAATTAGTTAAATCAATCAATCAAATTTTCTTTATCTGTGATCAACCAATACACGCTTCTTCAAACTTCCATGGAAATTTGCCTAGTGATACTGTACACATGCGTAGTGCTTCCATCAAGCAAGCTCACCTCTTTGGCATAGCTCTCATATGCTTCTCTGATTCAGATATACTGTAAGCTAGGCTAGACCGATGTGCTAGACCTTCAGATTGTTTTTATCTCGTTCTGGATGTTTGCTACACAGTAGGGCTTATCATCAATCATTTATTAGCAGGGCATTTTACCAGGAGTACGAAATATTTCTAGGCGGTAGGTGTGTAACCAGGGATGTACATTAAAACGATGCCCCGCATTGCCAGAGGTGGCCGGTAATGGTATTTTATTCAAAATTCAAAAAATTCATAAAAAGCATAAAACATGGCAGCCAAAAAGGCTGAATTACCATGGACCTATTAATAGGTCCATGGAATTACGAATTAAGTTGCAACATCAAATTAGGAAATTTACATTTTTTGTAAATTATATCCCCGGCTAAGTCCCCTCCAGGATCGAGTTTGGGGCCGGGACTACAATTGACAAGTGCTTAAGTAATAAATCTTAAATAAGTAATTAAATAAACTAAATAGTTAAATGTACAGTAAATGCTTGTCTTTTAACGATTATTTTTTCCCTCTTTTTCATTTTAAGGCAGACTCAGGAAGCCTCTAAATGTGTGTCCATTTTTTTTACTTTCTTTATTATTGTGTTCTCCCAAACCTTATTTTTTCTTTAATTTCGGGCCCCTCAGGATGAAGGTTTTAGGTTTATAGAGTTACCCTTTGCTTTCCTTTTTTATTCTTTTTTTTTTGGTTTCAGCTCCAATTGGCCAGTCTTCTCTTGTTTTTCCCCTTTATGATTTGTATTCATATTGACCTTTTCCCATAATTATGGCGTATTGACCCCTTTTGTCTTTTATTATTCTTATTTGTTTTTTCTTTACCCATTCCCTGTCTAACTTTTCTTTCCCTGTTTTATTCATTTATTTCACTATTCTAAATTTGAACTTTTTGACTTCTTGACATTTTTGTATAGTGCAATGTAAGATTTTCAAATTTTTGATGTCCAAAATATTTCCTTGTTTTAATTTTTGATGTTTTGTGATTTTGCATGTTTTTAATAAGTATTTTCTTTTTATTGGCCAGCAAAAAAAACAAAAACAAAAACAAATTTGAGCATGATTCATCTTGAAAAAAGTGCTAGGCCTATGATAAATTTGGTATGGAAGTAATAAGTAATAATGTCAAGTATAGTTTGTATGGGTGGGTCTCAGGCATGCATTTTGTAGCAGAGCAGACTTTAAGGAAATAATTGGTGTAGTCATGGCTACTGCTCACAAGGAGTGTTTCCTTACTCCCGAATAGACCTAATCAAATAATTTATTTCAGTCATGAACTCATACAATATTCGGTAACAACAGGATAAATAATTGATCAGATTTTGTTTGTGAAATAGAAAAAAAAAAGTTGTTACATGTACGCTCTAAACTAAATTTGTGATGACGCCCCCAGGTGCATCGCTTCATCTAAGCTTCAGCGACAGGCCATGTACCAGATTATGCTAAATTAGTTCTCAAATTATGTGAAATCGGTAAAGCCTTTAAGTTTGCAGTTTACAGTTTACTTATTCAAATTGAAAAGTGTAATTAGTATGAAAGTATGGATCCCAAGTTGGAAGAAGTCATTTTCGGGAGATCTACAGTAGCTGATCCAGGAACCCGATTTGAAATAAAGTAGAGGAGGCCCTGGCAGGGAGGGACTTTCACAGATGTATGGTAACCCCTCAGCCCCACCATAGTTAGTGCTGAAATAAGACAATTTATGATTATGGCACCTCTAGATGGCCGGAAATGACTCTTGCAAACAATTTTTATGATATAATTTTATTATTTACCCATTTTTTGGAAAAATTTAGGGACCCAGGTGGCTATCCCCCTCCCCTTTAATTCTTCACTGATCTGCAGTGTTTATGACCTTTCTTACCATATTTAGTGATACACCGGCACTGACTTCGATTAGACTAATAAATATTGAAAACATTCAAATATTATGTGTGTGATATAATTTGTAGGAGATGGGTTATTTCTATCTATTAGAAATGCGGAAGTGCGGAATGTCGTCCCAATTTTTGGGAGACTCGCACAAGTTCCGGGAGACATGGGACCCCTGTAAAAGCAATTAACAATAAGACTTGTGACACACATGAACTTTGAGTTGAGGCTTTGGGATGTACAGTATGCTTATTTTACTTATCACCCTTTCAGCTATACTATCAAGCTTTAAACTTTGGAATGATCGTGTCATCAGCATTAATGATCTGGAAAGGGTTAATGGTAGTGACAAGCAGTGAAAGTCCTATAGTAGTTGTTTTAAGGTGAGTCATTATTAAGTAATAATAATAATAGATAGTCGAATCCAAAAAGGCATTGAAAAATTGTTCGACTTGGATAAAAGTCGACTTGAAGATGGTTAATTAAGTGAAAACCCTTGGTATATAAAATAAGATTGACTTAGAAATTATTTGAGTTGGCAAAGTCGACTTAGGCAAGTGTATATGTGTATAGCGCAAATAAATGAGGTCTTTATGCACTCGACAAAAAAAAAAAAATCTATTAATAATAAAAGGCAAGGAAAAAAAAAATACCAAGCTCACACTGAAACCGAAGTTGATTGATAGATGAATAGGTAATCCCAAGTGTACTTTTTGTATCATTCACTTAACTTTGATCTTGCCGTCTATTGGATAAACAGAATAATTCAATCATCATCAAAAGCACAAATAGAACACTAAACTTTATTGTTTATCATTAAAGATGGCATCATGTCAAGTAGAGTAAATACTGTACCTACTGCACACTTTCATCTAACATCAAATATTCATTTTCTGATTAATTAAATATCATAGGTGCTAGGACCATTTTACAATAAAATTGTTCTTTTTCTTTTGCATCTAGTGGTAGTATGGAGCCAGCATTCCATAGAGGTGATCTTTTATTTTTGACAAATCATCAATCTGACCCAATTCGTGTTGGAGAAATTGTTGTTTTCAAGATTGAAGGAAGAGAAATTCCAATTGTACACCGAGTTCTACGTTTACATGAAAAGTATGTCATAAGTGATCTCTGATTCACTAAACCACCAAATTACTAATAGTTTTTATATATTAATATCTATTCATATTCATTAATAGGTGAGACTTTTTTAATACCTTGATTCGCGAACTTGTTATTTCCAAGATTGTCAGAGGAGGGCTGGAAAAAAATTTACTTTTCTTATTTAGCAAATAAGTTTTGCCAAAAACCTCCAGACGGAGGAGAAAACAAAAATAACATTTCATTGGTGAATGTAAAAAGTGTAGTTAATGGGATGGTTAAATTATATAATTTTAGAAAAATACATTTAGGGAGATTTCAATGCTTAAAAAAACTTTAATTTTTTTCTAAGAAATTCCATTTTTCTGTGGTGGCGGGTGTGCTAAATTGGCCAAAAATGTATTTTATTTTTATTTGAAATCATCATTATTGGCGGGCGGCTGGTTCGCTAAATAAGGTATAAAGAAAGTCACGCCTTAGTACTATTAAATGTATAATATTATGAATTTGGGTTTTTTTATTTGCCAGTTTCTAAACATTAAGTCTTAGTTAATAAAATCTTGATGTTATGCAATTTTTTGTTCTCAATTTTCTAAAAAACTATTTCAGATTTTAATGCTGTATAAAATAATATTTAACTTCAGAGCAAGCTGAGTGGGATTTAATAATATAATACAAATCCACTGCCCTCTACATTTGAAAATACATCTCATGCTTTTCAGTGTGATCAGACTTTCTGTGATCCAATAATCAAACACACTAGATTGTAATCATGTCAGAATTATGCATACAGTACACCAGAGGTGGGCATAAAAATCAGTCGGAGGGCCTAAGTGAATTTTCGATTTAACACCGAGGGCCGCACCCAAACTTTGATGTTTCCAGTGACCTTCCAAAACCTCCAAGTACTGCTTTTACACCACTTTATTCTGAGTTTTAATGTTACTTTTTACATATGATCGGTGACGGTACACTAAATCCAGGTTTCCTTAATATCGCTACACTGTCGTGACAGTGCAATCGTTGTATTGCGTAGCAGGCCCCGACGTAATCGTAAAGGCTCCCCGATTTGACCGACCAATCAGCATCACTGAAAGCTGTCGGCGATAACGTGTAGAGATTCTATGGAAACCAAGCTTATCTATCAAATACGGTTGAAGTACAGTTTATTTTAATGGAATCGGTTTTCTTTTTAACAGGGAAAATGGAGAAGTTAAATTTTTGACTAAAGGTGATAATAATTCAGTAGATGATCGTGGGCTGTATGCCCCTGGACAGTTGTGGCTTGAGCGTAAGGACGTTGTTGGACGGGCTAGAGGATTTGTGCCTTATGTTGGAATAGTAACAATTCTAATGAACGACTATCCAAAATTTAAGGTGAGTAAAACATATAGAATTATTAGGTTAGTGTATAATTCATACAGCACGATGGTGATATGCTGATAATGATGGTGATGATTGTGATGGTGATGATAATGATGATCATGATGAAGATGATGATAATAGTGGTCATGATGATGATTGTACAGGTAGTGATGATTATGATAGTTACTATGGATTGAATTTATGGTCTATACTGTAACTAGGGAGTATAGTGCAGAAATTTTTAGTTCTGAGAAAAAATCTGGTTTTCTAAACGATTTGAACATATGACTCCCGAAAGAAAGACCTTCATCCTAATCATGTTTTAGGCAGTGCTCCCAAGTCTCCAGGATTGCTCTGGAGTCTCCAGGAATTTTGGTTCATCTCACGGTGTCCCAGAAATTCCACATTTTCTCCCGGAATTTGAATTTCTCTTGGTTTTCTCCAGAATTTTAACAGATTTTCACAATTAGGGCTTATGCTAAGCTAAATTTTCCCATTCTTATGCATTAAATCTTGCAGACATAAGATTTATTGAAAATTCTAGGCAGCGATATTGTATCAACATTGACCTGAACCTGCCCAAGCCAGTTTGTTTTTATATTGAAAAAGGTAATAATTTTGTACACGAGTGTCCTACATGCGTTTTGGTTAGTACACGCTTCGCAAACCTCAGCCTGCATGACAAAATCTCCAGGAATTTGACTTTCACAATTTGGGACCCCTGTTTTAGGTCCACTTCTACCTAACACATCAACTGTTAATACAAACATTTTTCCATTTACCTGTCCACAGTATTTTGTGCTAGCCGGATTAGGATTATTTGTTTTAATCCATCGGGAATAAGGTGACGACTGTGATGAACGCTGTGTTTATCAACCAATCATTATGTTGGATAGGAGACAACAAATTTGAAGATGGAACACAACAGATGAATTCACTCTCATCGCAGTTTGTTTTTGTAGCATCATTCCAGAAAATTTTTTTAGAAAATCATTTATTCACTATTGATGACATTGGATGCTGTTTCATGCTTTAAACTTTGGGCCAAATTGCATAGGCAGAAAGCCAAGTGAGATTTTGCATAGGTATATTTTGCATATTTAATGCTCTGATTTGCATATTTTTTGTACTTGGCCTTATTTTAAACATGTTCGTGGATATGGGAAGGTCTTTCCTATTTGCCAATCCAATGAGTTACCTCAGGACAGTTTTTACAGACCAATGTTATGAAGAAATATTTTGAAATTACAAAAAAATAGACAAAATATAGATATTGACTTGTGAATACCTGTGCCACTGACTTTGTTGTTAGAATATTTATTTATAATACAAAAATCTAGCAGCAAAAAAAAAAAGTGGTGCCCTCGGTTACATCCTATAACACAAAAATATATTTTTAGCGGTCAGGCAGCATGATAATGTAAGCACATTTTTATTCCTGAATTGTACAATAATTTACTCATAAGCGAGTAAGATTTTGTTTTTATCGCTGTAGTTCTGAAGCATGTGCAACTTAATTTAGTAGATTATGTGACAAACTTGTTTCAAGTTTGGTTTGTTTGTAACTTATATTTAACATCATTTTTAATGATGTAATTAATTATGCACAAGAAGTTCATTTAGAGCTTTTGATTCTGGTGCCATGGTAGATCATTAATTATGTAATATTTTTCTCTCTTTACCATACTCTGTAATAAAAAAAAAATATTAAGAGACTCCAGTTTACTACGACATTTTGTATTACTTGTTAGCTTTCCACAAGAATACTACACGCAAGTAGTTAAAAATCAATTTCAATTCAATTTCAATTTATTCATTTATCGAGTCACAATCAGTACCACCATATATCATCTTAATTTGCCAGTTGGCACTCTTTCATTTATTCAGATCTTAAGCCCCTCCACTTGACGATCGTTCTGCCATCAATCCTACCCCCACATGTCAATGACTCAAGGGGTGCAGACAGGGTAAAATTTGAGGGGGGTCAAGACTTGTAAGTGCAGCAAACAACTAGGCTTGTGGGCCAGGGGTTGACAAGGGCCAGGGTTGGGATCCAGAGCCTGAAGGTCCCTGGAAATTTACTTTATTTTGCGTGATAGAATTGAACGGTTTCACCACGTTAATTTATATGAAACCTATAACAAAAAATTTAGCCACAAAACAGAATGCAATGTGTAAACAAGAAAATAAATTTGGTGTGAAATTTCACTCTTCCCTGGTTCCACCTTCAAAGGGTAATGATTTTCTAATCATGAACCTCCAATAAAGGCATATTTTTTAATAGGTCTTAAAAGTTGGCATGCAAGCCTCTTCTTGGACGTGAGGAAGCGTAGGACTATATATCTTATCGCTTTTTTTATTATCTTCTCTTTTTTAATAGTGTTGCCAAAGCCTATATTAGAGTGACCAGTGGCGTAATGGCGAGTCAGGGGGCCATGGGGCGAGAAAGTGGTGGGGGCCCCATGTATTGTGTATTTTCGCCCACGAATTGGGCGAAGGGATGTATGTTTGTGAGGGAAGATTTACAAAAGAATAAAAAGACTGAAAGGTCCACTGATTAATCTTAGATTAAGATAGTATAATACATACTCCAAGTATCGAAATGCACGCCATCGTGATGATGACATAATTAATGTCGAAATATTGAATCCAGACACGATGCCTTGCATTTCGATACTTGGAGTATGTATTATACTATCTTATAAAAAGGCTATTATAGGTAATGCTATTTTTATGAGATAGGCTGTTGTGCAACTATTCTACTATTCAAATACGGAATCAACTTGAATGTCTACAAATTGTGAATTTAGTCTGTGCATCTTTGCATCTGGATGACATTACTTATATTTTGCTATTAGTATGCATTGTTTACATTCACATAGAAAAAATGTATATATATAAAATTTGTTATTTTAATGAAGATTAAAAAGAGATCTTTAAACCACAATCTATCGCTGAGCCAGTAGTTGGCATTGAAGTTGCTACAAGGTGCAATCCAACAACAGACTCTGCCCCCTGAGCCCACTTGGTCCACATATACATATCCCGCACCTCCAAAATAATGGTAATCCTTGATATGGGCCTGAACACAGAAAAAAGACAAAAGGGTACACAAAAGAGAGAAATAGTGTATTTTTATTTTCTATTTATTTATTTTTTTGTAAGCTCTATGACTTTCTTTAGCCCCAAAACATTTCAGTTCCTGTCCCTAGAAGCTTTCCAAAATTTGTAACAGCAATGTTGGCCTAGGGAAGTGCTGTTATTATTATTATTGTACAGAAAACATTCGAGATTTATAGATGACGCGGCTTGTCCGCCGGGTCTGAGGTAGGAGACATCACTCAGTCACTCTGTAAATCATGAGAGTGGCTTATATTTCATTGTTATATTTTTTTTTCACATTACCAATCAGGATATTTTTGATTATTATCAAGTGGGGGAAGGGGGTGAGGACTCGACCCCTCCTCTGGTTGCGCCTCTGGACTTCACTGTACACAATAAAAAGAATTATTAATGGTATACCGGAGGGACGGGCGGTTCTCCCCAATCGCCCACCCCTTTCCCAAAGAAATCACGCCGAAGTAGTTTCACTTCAGTTTTCGCGCCCCCTCCCCGTATTTTAAGACGCCTAGATATGCCACTGCTTAAAGGTTTTTACTGATAATTCACATATTGGTAAGCTTATTTTTTTTTTATAAAGTTACAGCCTAAATACTTACTGTCGGAAGTCCTTGATGAGAGAAAGAAAGCACGACCTGGTCTTTGTTATGTACTTTGTGACTACAGTCAATAATATCTTAAAATCGTCATTTTGCTCTTGTATTTCTCTTATTCCAGGCTAACAATTGCTCATGATGATGATTGAGCACGTTCAGACACCGTTAGTTTAACTGATAAAGGTAATTTACTCCTAATACTTGTGATTTAGCCATTTATGATTGTGATGTGACATCATCACACCCAAATATGGCCAAATTACTTGTCACATAAGACTCGATATTGTGGACAAATATTTAGACACATCTCTGCTAATCTGAAAGAGTTTATGAGCAGTCGATTTGGCAATATTACGACACACGCGTACTGTCACGTAACTTGGTTTTTTGTGGATAATTTAAAGACAAGCTAGGCATATTGGAAAACAGAATACTTAGGGCGAACCTTTTCCATTTATTCTTTTATTTGTATGCCTACGTATGTCTGAAGTCTAGTAGTCTGTAATTCATAATTTAAGTTGCATTAAACAGTCAGTCAACCCTTTTAATAGCAAAAAGTATAGTATAGTATTCTGTTCTGTTTATCTGATTATTTCAGAATTGAAAATGTTTATGGAAAAATCGTTTGTAGCCTTAACAGCCAGAAATAGAACCAGAGCATGTATGTATATATATATGTATATGTATGTATATATATATTATATATATATATATATATATAATCCAAATCCAAAGTTCTATTTCTTGATGTCTTAGTCGAAATGAAAACAGGTAAACTTAAAACTCAATTATACACAAAACCAACTGATGCTCATCTTTACTTGCTACCAAATCGTGTCACCCTAAACATACCTTTTCAAGCATAGGATATAGTCAAACACTTTGAATCTGTCGTATTTGCAATGAGGAAACTGATGTTAATAAACACTTATCAGACCTTCAGGAACACTTAATTAACAGAAATTACAAACAGAATATGGTAATAGAATCTATAAATAAAGGTAAACAAAAGCCCAGAAGTGACCTCCTTTATAATAAAAGGAATCAAATGAACAGGGTTCCCCTTGTTCTCACTTATGATCCAAGACTCGCTAATGTGTCTCACATAATTAGGAAACATATGCCGACCCTACACAAATCAGAGGATATGAAAAGACTATTTTCGGAGCCTCCGATTATTGCTTTTAGAAGAGCAGAAAATCTAAAGGATCTGTTAGTTAATGCAAAATTACTTTTAAAAAAAAACTATCAGAAGGGGAAACTGGTTATATTCAGTGCCCCTAAAAAAAATGCTCTGTCAGACCATTTATAAAAGCAACTAAGAAATTTACCAGTAATGTAACCCGACAATCCTTCCCAATCACAACACTCATTCATGACAAAATGGATTGGTTAATTTATTTAATCACATGCCAAAAATGCGGTAAACAATACGTGGGGAAAACCACTACATCCCTTTACACTAGATTCACAAATCATAAATCAGACATTAAACATCATAATTTCCCATCAAGTAAAAACTTACCAGTTGGCCTCATTTTAATCAAGCTAATCATTCAATAGAAGATATATTAATTATAGGTATTGAGCGTATCATTAATAAACAAGAATCAATTATCAAGAGAAGAGAATCGTTTTGGATTAAACAATTACAAACCCTTCACCCGAAAGGTATCAATGTTGATGAATAGCATCTCCCTAAAGTTAGTCCATTTAATTATTTTTCTAAAACTTCTGTCTTTTCGGTTACATAATTAATTATATGCTAATTAACGGATTTACGAAATTCTATCGGCACGTCAGCAATAAGCGAACGATTTCATTCCACAATACCAAAGCAGTGACCAAGAGGGTAACACCCCTAAAGTCAAATCAAGATAAATACACGTTTCAATTCAATTTTAATGCAAATTATTTTAATAAGTAGTTTTTATATTTTAAGATTTTGTACTGTTTTATGGATGGATGTTTTTGTATAGATCCTGATGAAGAGCGTAAGCTCGAAAGCTTGATTCCGTAATTAAAGACGTTTTGTTCCATCCAAGCCTCCGACTATTTCTTTCATTTATACATACCATGAGGCACGTTTCAACAGGCTCTGAAGGCAATCAATTTCTTTCGATATATAATATATATATATATATATATATAATATATATATATATATATATGTATATATGATATATGTATGTATATATAATATATGTATGTATATATAATAATGTATGTATATATGTATATGTATATATATATATATATGTATATATAATGGTAACATATATAATGTCTTTTAAATTAAAATATGGGAAAAGGCTAGCATCAAGTTGGTTGATATAATGAATAAATGTTACACTGTAAGAAATATGGAATAATATGGAATAATAATAATATAATTTAATTTAATAATTTAATTTGGTGTTCAATGTGGACCACAGTGGAAATAAGCTTTTTTTTTTACTTTTCTGTGTTTTTATCCTTGAATGTATTTTACTTATAATTACTTCAGAATGAATAAATAAAAAAATAAAAAATCAAATAAAATTAAATTAAATAAAAATGTGTTCCATATGTGTTTGATCCAATGACCGGGGTAGTAATGTGTAGCGCTTAGAGGCTTTGTAAAGGCATGAAGAGCTGTATAAGAACGACATATTATTATTATTATTAAGAAACGTAACAGAAACAAAACGAGTGCGGATAATTGATAGGCTAACAGCATTGAGAAAGGATTTGAAAAATCTCATTTAAAAGCTCGTATCTCTTTCGATTTTTGAATAAGTATGTCTGCACCAGCATTCTTCATTTCGTATTAAACTTGCAATGAACTGTCGGCGATGTATGGATTTCTGCATCTGCATAAAAGCCAACATCGTCTGCAGTTTCACGCACACGCAAACAACAGAAACTACATCCTTACATCGGTTACTGTAGTTTAATGAAATTCAACCTACCTACACAGTCATTTCTGCAGACGAAGAAAACTGTACTCTTCACTACCAAAACAGGTACGTGTATGTTTAGCAATTGGGTATAGATTTCAAATTATTAATGTCCTTGTATATTCTCTACATTTGGAACGAGACAAAATTTTCCTGTTATTTAAGGGTACACCTCATCATCATTTGACGATTTTCGTAAAGTAGAATAGAGCTGTATGCTTTGAATAGCTTTTTAAATTCATCATTTCGGCTTCGACGAGGTATATGTTACCCATTGATTTTTAGGTATCGCTACTCAGCGCGACTAACTGACAGGTAGTACGAGACATCTAACTTCAGCCAATCTTAGCAAAATTTTCTGTAGAATTCCCCCAGCTGTGGTGGATTTAAAGTGGCTGAGTGCGTAAAGGGGAATACACCCCACCCACCC